TTTATTCATTGTTAAAACTTTATCAACTATTCTTGTATGTATAACATTATGGTTACTGTATTAGAAAATAATGAAACATATTTGCTAAAAAAATACAGAAGTCATTAAGAGAAGAAACCTCCCAGAAAATTCTGTTTCATATTAATCAGTTGACATGCCATTGTTTGCATGTCGAAATTTTAAACCAGAGACCATTCAGCTTTTGAATATACAGGTAGTGAATGCAAAAAAATCCTTTTACAGCTCCTAAACCTTCTATGGGTCTTTAGACAGCCAAACATTAATGGTGTGTGCATACGTTTGTGGACGTGCATGTGTACATTCTTTCCAGAACTACTATTTGAAGTTTTTCTATTGAGAAGATTGGAGTGAACTAAGGATGAAATGAAATACAAGTGCATTTTAAACTGCTTTTCCATCATTCATTGAGTAGTGCTTTAAGTGGCATCTATGAATTTGGCTTTACACTTCCAAAACTGCTTGAACCTAGGAATACAATACATCATCTTTCACTGTAAGAGAGCCAGGGATGCTGGGGTGTACATCTTAAGTCACTGGCACCCCTAAAATGCAACTGGTGCTAACAACCACTTGGGTTCTTTGCACAGCCAAACCACCACATAAAGACACAACTCATAATATACCATCTTCTGAAAATCCACTTGCTGGTCTAACACGTCTCTCTCTCTCTCTCTTTTTGCAGAATAAGCTAATAGTTACACCTGTGTTTTCTTACTGTTTGCCCTTGGACGAATCCTCACTTAGACTTCCTTTTGTAGCATTTCTAGGTACTGTAATAGAGATCAAACAAACATGGGGGGAGGGGTCTCAAGTAGAATCTGAATCGGCCCACAGCAGCCCGAAAGGGGCCCGAATGAACAGTCTCAAGCACACATCCCTATCTAAATTTTGCTTAGAAATGTGCAGTTTTAGATTCTTCTGATTTGAATTTGTTTGTTTGGTTGCCAACCAGTCAATATTTTACTGGTCTAAGCAATAAGACTCCCTCTCAAGGAAGCTGGGGTTCAACTGCAATGAAAACTAAACCCTGGGTTGCTTCCATATGGAGTTTTTGCTTCAGTTTGGTGACCAAACTGGACTGGAGTGAGTTTTTGGAATATCCACACAACATTGTCCTTGATTTGCCCACTCTCCTTATTTCCCCCGTTTTGCTCCATTATTTTCCTCAGCCAGCTTTATTATCTTTCCTGAAAGATCACAGTCAAAGAGGGCTTGCGGGCAGCTTGGATGGGAAAGCACAAACCTTCGGACCACACTGGTGCTATCATATTGCTGTCATGCCCTCATGCCTGACATTCCCCCACCCCCTGTGCCACCAGAGGAAATTTTGCTGGCTTGAAAAAAAAAACCCACTGCAATAGTGTTATAATAGGGAAATGTTAGAAATTTTGCTGTGTGAAAGCAATCTTTATTTAAACACTGAATTACACAATAGCTGGTTGGAAATAACCAGCATTGTATTGTGGAGGGGGAGCTAAAATCAGCCAGCAAGATTAGGTTCTGCCAGGCTTCAGTCCTCAGCTGGCAGACCATGCCTTGTCTCCTTCTCTGATGAGTAGGTTCTGCTCAGCACGGCCTGCCCAGGCCTCACCCTCTGGTTCCACCCAGGACTGGCATTGTTTAAATCAGAAGCTGGCAATCTGTTTGCCCATTACAGCATCCTAGGCTGCCCAGACACTTTGTAATGCAATTGATTATATCCAGGGGTCATTTCGTAGAAAAAGAGGTGCAGGAGCTCATTAGCATAACTCATTCACATAACTTATTTGCATATGCCACACCCCCTGACATCACCGGAAGTGTGTCAGAAGGTAACACCCACTGCTCAGGCTCCACTGGACTGTTTTGGATTGCTAGCTATTGGGGGGGGGGAGAACATTCAGATCTGTCCTCGCAGAGGAGGGAGAGCTTGTGCCTGAATAAAACTTGGTCTTAAAGGTGCCACTGGACTGTTTTGGGCCGGTGGGTGCTGCAACTTACCTGGCTGCTTCTTGCTCTGACTGAGCCCTGCTGGGAGCAGGGGGTGGGGCTTGTTGCATGTGCCCGCCCTCTGGGCTCTTTACTGCCGGAGCTCCGCTCCGGTGCGCTCCTGCAGGAAATGGCCCCTGATTATATCCACGTACTCCTACATTGTCCCCTTCTTTACCTCACATTTATATCCTACCCTTTCTCCAAGGAGATCAGAGAATATACAGCCCCCATTTTAACCTCACAGCAACCCTGAGAGGTAGATTAGGCCAAGAAGGAGTGACCGTCCCATGGCCACTGTCCTTTCCTCCACAGTAAAGGGGTTGTTGTATTTATAATTACACCCCAGTGTAGGATTGTCAGGCTGAGACAGGCACCAGATGGTTGGGGGTGGGGATATACGGGCTGACAGCAGTGGCACCACATCATTTCTGGAAGAAACCAAGAATTGACATATAGTGGGGTCCCGACCAGACTGGTCTTTAGATCCATGCCAGGCACAAGTGCCTGGCGAATTTAAAGGTAATGAGCAGACAGCAACATCTGGGAAACATGCCTCTTCCGTGATCATCCCGTTTTGCTGCGCTTCGGAGCCGTACATAAAAGATACTAGTTAAAGTCTGGAGTTTTCACTTCCTGACGGACCAATTGCGGACTTCCCCCCCATCTGATCGTTCCAGTGCGCAATCTTCCCATTGGGATGGTCTGACATCAGACCATCCCGAGCAGGCGCCATTTAAAAAAATTCTTAGCGATATACGCATAAATGTGTAAACGTGCGACAGCTGCAGAGCTCCGCTCAAATGTACCGGACAATTTCATGTTTCTAAACAGCCCGTGAATTTTATGAACTGCGTTAATTAAAAAGGTACCTAGAGGGAGGTACCACTGCTGGTGCTTTAACCATTCAACTCCGTGCATACGTAGAAAAACAAGTATACGTTGAGGCACGGATTACCACCATTACCAACTGGCCCTGTGAGGAGTGAACGACAGCGCTGCGTGGAGCTGACACCACTGAACTGGGAGTACCATCTTCAAGATGCCATCTTTTTATTGAAGACTGATTTGAAACACCTAGAGCACTGTGTAATATTGTAAATGACTTTTTTAATGTTGCTTTTAACCTGTTCTATGTATTGGCATGTGCCCTATTTGTGAGCCGCCCTGAGCCCGCTTGCGGGGAGGGCGGGCTATAAATCAAAATAATAAAAATAAATAAATAAATGCACAAACAGATAATAAAACCTGACCGCACGGCTCCACCATGGAGTATGCGTGCAGTAAGGGGAGCTGTCTGGTCGTGCAACGCCGGATAAAAAAGATCAAGATCAAATTAGAGCTGGGCCAATTGCAGTATTAGCTGCCCGTCTGAATGCACCCTGGGTCTAGAAATCACTGAAAGCGTGGAGTTTTCAGCAATTTCTAGAGCTATGGGTTTTCCCTATAGTGAGTGGCAATAACATCAGTGTTGCTGCCTAGTCCTGCTAGGGTTGCCAACTCCAAATTGGGAAACTCCTGGAGATTTAGGAGTGTAGCCTGGGGAGGGTGGAGTTTGGAGAAGAGAGGGAGCCCAGGAGGGACGTGATGCCATCGAGATCACTCTCTGAAGTTGCCGTTTTGTCCAGGGGAACTCATCCCTGTAGTCTGGAGATCAACTAGGGTTGCCAAATGGTACTCACCTCTCCGGCGGGGGACTCCTGCGTGGCTCCCGGAGCGCCGCATGCACGTCACAGGGAAGTGACGTCATGACGCCGGGCACGCTTGGGGCGGGGCCACGACCATACCATAGAGTTTTCCCTTGTATGGCCGTGGCCCCACCCCCAGCATGCCCGGCGTCATAACGTCACTTCCCTGTGATGTGCACGCTGGGGCGGGGTTCCCCCCGGGGCCCGATTCCCCGGCGTCTGGGAACGGGCCTCTGGGGCAGGGGGATTTCCGCCCCCAGGGGGATTTGGCAGCCCTAAGATCAACTCCAGGCTCCACCTGAAGGTTGGGAACCCTGTTTGGCACAGTGTCTGGATTCAGCCCGTCGATTACAAACAAATTGATCAAATCACTAGTCAAAAGATATTTTGTATGGAAAATGCATACCCATACATCGCTTTTGTTTTTCTGCCCAGCACCTGGTTTCCTGAAATGCAAATTGGCTTGAGCACTCTACGGGCTTCCCTCAAAACACGTTCCTTGTGCGTCACTGTACACAGAACCAAAGTGGAAACTATGATACCCACGGAGGCATCCGCTATCAGGGTATATCTCTTCTCCTTGAAGATGCTGGTAGCAGAGCAGAGAAGCTGGTTTCAAACAGTAAAACTGAAACCCTGTTCAGATGTTATATCTGCATGTACCAGGTGGCCAACAACTGCACTTATCATGAGTGTGCTACTCCTGATATGCACAGTCATGATGTCCGTTTAGGAGCACCACACTTTTTTTGCGTGAACCACACATGTTTTGTAGAACCGTGGGTTAATGCGTGCCTGCCCGTTCAGACAACATGGCAACCTGAGATACCAGGAGGGACATGCTCCTGATATGTGTAGTTGCTGGCCTCCCAGTACGTATACACAAAACTTCTTAAAAGGACTTGTGTGGGATTTAAATCACTAAAAACCCAATCCCTGAACTAGCCTGCAATTTGCTTTTTATGGATAAAAAGACATGTGGTCTTCTTCACCCCATGAATGAATACAGGTATTTGGAACCGGCTCCAGGCACACGTCATCAATATACACAGAGTAACTGTATTCCTGCTTCAGGAAAATGTCATCTAAGGCGAGCAAGTCTGCTCATCCCATACATTTTTATTACCAGAAGGCAATACTGCAGGCACCAGAAGCAGCAAGTAAGATTGTATGAAGCATCCCAGCACCACCACAGAGGCATGAATGGGTTTGAACTTCAAATTGCACAACACCAGTTTGGAAACGATAATTACAGTGCCAGTGAAAATGCTGTCGTTATATAATTGCCTTCCATGTTCACATTAGCAAACAATTCAGCGGGTAATTGCAGAAACTGGAGTGAGCTAATGAGAGAAGGAGTTCTGTAGGGACTGAACAGCCCAGCCTGCAGTAATCACAAGTGGAATGCTGTCAGTCCATCCGAGAACAGGCAGTGTTGCAGCGCAAACAACAGACACCTCGGGAAATGCAGATGCGTCATCTGGAGGGTCAGGTAAACTCAAAGCAGTGGACAGAGCAAATTTGCTGCAGGAAACTTGATTTCCAGGTGCAATGAAAAACTAAAACTGAGTGTGCCTGATACATCCATGAGCATGGGATTTGCAGCCAGCTAGCAGTGCATAAAATGCAGTGTTACCTAGGTGTGCCTGGTACACCCAAGGTACAGTGAAGTGGTAGTAGATGCATGTGGTTGCTGGTGTGGAAGCTGTTATTAATTGCATTTATAGCAACTGCATTATTTCTTTTATAGAAACCTAGTGAAGCCCCAGCAGACCCACCACTCTGGAGTTGCACAAGAAAATACTCTGTCCTAAAGAGTTGGTTTGCTGTGATAGGTTAAGAGAGGCTGAAAAGAGACTGTCGCCTTTATGATAGAGAGAATCGCACAGGATTTTGAAAATCACTGAGCTGTTCCCATTTAACTTTTGGACACGTGCATGTATGTATTAGTGTCCATGTATGAACATTTCTACATGCATATTTTTCTGTATGTTTATGCATAGTTTCTTTACCCTTATGTGTGCATGCATGTATGATATTGTACATTTAGAGGGGTATACTTTTGTGAATCCATGTGTTCACATTTGAGCCTTTTATGGATGTTTGCACATATATTTCATAGATATGCTTTTGTGCGTGGTGTGCAATCTGTTGCAGGCAAATATTTAAAAACTAGAGTGCTTAGAGGTGCATGCTTTGTGAACCTGCATGTTTCTCTGTGTGCATTTTACCTGGGTGAGCTTTTATGCATATATGCATATTTTGTTATTTATGACTGTGTATTTTGCAATTTTTTTTGCATGCATGTACAAAGTTTACAGAGTGCATTTGGATGAGCAAATCTAGACCTGCAAGCTTTGCAAATCCATGTACTTGCACAGATTTATTTTGATATGTGGAAGCCTTATGACATTTATGTGGATGTGCTTATTTTTGTATGTGCACATTTGTGTGCATTTGTAATTGTTCCTGTTTGTGTGTGTGTATGCATATATTCACATTTACACACATATGTGCAATGTGCATGCATTATATATTAGTATGGATGTTTATTCATATACGTACACGTTTTCAAAAATGAACTATGCTCTGGAGTATACAGAGACACGTGTTTTGTGCCTGTGCACTGTGCTGTATACATTGTATATTTACAGAAGAGAGCTTTGATATATATGCATGTATTAGTTTGTTTTTCTCAATGCGCATGGTGGGAAATTTTTGGAGAAGGGTAACTCCCCCCCCCCCCGAAAGCCTCCTTTCTTGCAACTTTTATAGACGTGAACCCTTTATCGTCTGAAATCTTGCAGCCAATAGTGGTGTACAGTATTATGTATTCTTTACTGAAAATCAGACCTAAATAGCCCTAGCCGATTTGGGCAGAACAAAGCAGTTCCTATGAAGGCAATTACATAATTTCCCACAACATAACAGGTGTGTCATTGTAAGTCTTTCTGAGACACCCAGCTGTGATGCAATCTCTAGGAATGCACTCCCCCCCCCCATGTCCTGTTGTACTAGTCAGGAAGGGGCCCCTTGTGGGATGAAGTGCCACTAGTTCATGAAACTCTGGTTCCTTCCTCCTCTCTTCCTCCTCCCTGAGACTACCAGCAATTCTTTGTTATGGGAGGGACTTGGAAATCACAGGGCAGGTATATGATGGACAAAAGAAAACAGGCAGCAAGCACTCAATGGATTTGTTGTTAGGCCTCACCTAACAAAGTGCTTTCTATATAAGATACTGGAGTAGGTGGTTCCCTTGTCTTTTTATAGTAGGGGCAGGGCTAGTGCAAACAGCTCAGTAGCTGGTCAGGGAACCATTGCCAATCAAGAGCTTCAAATAATTTGGCAGTGAAACACACTGCTTATAGAGCCCTTCTTGTTATAGCAGATAGGGTTAAAGCCATCAGTGGAATGCTCAGAGCTCTTGTACCATTTGTGATTGTGTAAAACTGGAATTTCAAAATGTGCCGCTTTGCTTATTCCTGCACAATGGGTTGTGGTTCCAAAAGTTCCTTCCTTCCTCTTCCACAGCATTAGGAAGTTGCTTCCTGATAAACAGAAGACACCCTAGTATTATCAGCTTGCATTTTAGCTGCTCTAATATCCTGATGACATAATAAGGTTCTCTTCATCTTTAACATCTCTAAGCCTGTGTGAACCCAAAGCTTCAATGTTGCACACCTTGTATCCATCCAGCTAGGGTTACCAGCTCTGGGTAGGGGAAATACCTGGAGATTTGGGGGGGGTGGAGTCTGGGGAGAACAGGGTTTGGTTAAGGGGGGGACTTCAGCAGAGTATAATGTGTCACGGTCAGTTCCAGTGCACAACAGTTAGCAAAGCAGGTTGGAGAGCCAGTCCATGGTCAGCCAATAATTCAGTCAGAAAAGCCTTACAAACAAGTCCCAAGCAGTTTAACACAGCCGCAGTCAAAACATACCAAGAGTCATAGTCCATAAATCACGCTGAGTCTGATAAGGGCAGAGCCGAAGTCATAGTCAGGGAAACGCCAAGGGTCAGTTAGCCATAAATCAGGAGCAGGTAAACAGATGCCGACAGTCCAAACACCAACCGAGCCGAAACCAAAGAATCCGCAAGATCTGAAGCAAGGTCACACAGAGTGTCTGGTCCCGACATCAAACGTTGCCAGCATGGTTTGCTCAAGGCAACAGGTCTGCTGAAATAGCGTGCTGGCTCATTATCTCATTAGCTCCCTGAAACAATGTCCAGGCTGCTGTCAAAACTCAGGGCTGAGCAAACGTCGAACACGCAGGCATGCAGCCTTTCGCCTCTTATTCAGCTCCTGATGCCTTCGGTCTCGGAGCCTGTTGACAGGTGGAGGAGATTCTGGTGGGGACGCATTTGTGCTCGGCAGCACCTGATCGACCTCAGGTGGCTCTTGCTGAGTGGTATCCTCCTCAGGACTTACAGTTTCTTCTGTTAAAGGATCCAAGTCCTCCTGTCCCTGGCTGTCAAGCCTTGCTTCTGAGGCCACGTCGGGGCCAGGCATGACATAATGCCATAGAGTCTACTCTCCAAAGCAGCCATTTTCTCTAGGGGAACTGATTTCTATTACCCGAAGATCAATTATCATAGCAGATCTCCAGGCCCCACATGGAGGTTGCAAACCAAGGAGAGAGATCATGGGATGGAAGTTGAAAGGGAGCAAAACAACTGTGATATATTATGCCATAAAATCTTCATAGACTTGTGAGTTCTTTTCCAATTTACTTGGAGCAATTCAAATGCATCAACACCACAACTGACCGTGCATATTGCGTCTCATTTCATATACACACTTTATCAGAGTGGGTAGCGTTGAAATCCCTATGTAATTCTAATTACATAGAGGATCCTCTAGAGGATTTGATGAATGTTACTATGAGGAATGACTATAGTGTTTGCCAAATTGATTAAAATTACATAGGAATTTCAACGCTACCCACTCTGATAAAGTGTGTATATGAAATGAGACGCAATATGCACGGTCAGTTGTGGTGTTGATGCATTTGAATTGCTCCAAGTAAATTGGAAAAGAACTCACAAGTCTATGAAGAATTTTTTGGATGTAATATATCACAGTTGTTTTGTTCCCTTTCAATAACCCACCTGGAGGTTGGCAACCCTTCATATAGTGGAAACCAGCTAGATGCCCTTGGGAAGTTGATGGAGATAGTATTCTTTCATTCTTTTTTTTAATGTGATTGTATATTTGCTGCACAGCAATATATGTAAAATGTGAATATCACTTTGTCTTAATCCTATTTTACTCTAGGGATGCATTCACATGATTTTCTTCTCAAGGATAAATGGCATGGTCACAAAAACACTGGAATGCTGGCGCACACTCTTATTTCCATCCTTTGTTCATGCCTTGGGCACCCTTTCAGGAATAACAGATTTTGGTCTCAAATTTTTCTGGCATAATCCCAGCTGCATGGCTGTTCAGAGAAGCAAATGAACCTTGTCAACGGGATATCTGACAACAAGGTAAGTCCAGATGTAGATGTGGAAAATGGAAACTGTATTTTTTGTTGTTGTTCAGTCGCACAGATAATGAAACTGAAGCTCAAATACTTTGGCCACCAAATGAGAAGGGAGCACTCACTGGAGAAGACCCTGATGCTGGGAAAGATTGAAGGTCAAAGAAGACGGGGACGGCAAAGGATGAGATGGTTAGACAGTGTCATAGATGCAACGAACATGAAGACCAGAAGGCCTGGCGTGATCTGATCCATGGGGTCGCGAAGAGTTGGAAACTATATACCTATCATTAAAACAACTTATCTTATTTTTCATCTGTTGCCACCTAAGACCTTCCTTCTCCATTGAGTGGCTCCATTGTATTGTTAGTATCACACAGCAGAAAACTGACGAATGCAGGAACAACCACATTATCCAATTAGGAGTACTGGAAGTGTTTTTCAAATCAGACCCTGCACTGAGTGGAACCCTTCAGTCTTGCTTGCCTATCTTAGCGGTGACACAAATGTCCCCTGTTGCCATTGTCCTGAGAGGTCATAAAAACAACATGATTTCGGCTCTTCAGATAAACTAGGTCCCTACTCTGGTGGGGGTGTGATGGCTTAGCTCAGTCAAGATTACCCCATCCTTGTACGTGAAGTTTCCTAAAGTTGTCATGGCAGTGAACGTGAAGCCACGCGTAAGCAGGATATGATGCTGCTGTTTACATGTTCTGCCCGTCTCTCTCAGCCCTCAGGCTTGAGTTCCTCATGTGAAAGCCTCTAAAACCACAGATCATGTGGAGGGTATGGAGCAAAGCAAACAAACAGTGTACCACATCTCTTCATGGGGTGATGTAGTCAGTGTGTATGTCACCCGTGGGAAGAAGGTCATCATGGGGGCATACAGAGGGCACTGGTAAAAGAGCCATCATGAATTTGCACAAGAACGTTCGGGTAGGCAATATCAAGAAACTCCCTCCCTGTCATTCTGGCACATATCTTGAAACTAAAATTCCCACACAGGGTTGCAAATGGTCTTAGAGTTGCCACTGATATTTCATCTAAAGCAATTTTTGAGGTTCCTCTGCAGACAAAATATTAAAGAAAGTCAAGAAAAGAATGTCAGGAAAAGCTGAAGTCATTTCAATAAGATTAATAATTTCCAAGGAAGGCTTATTACTCAAATCAGTCCCCATGCCAGGCCTGTGTTGTAAGAGTGTCCCCTACATGTGAAAAACCCAGTTTTGCATATCTCAAAGTTTCCCGAGGTCCTAGTTTGACTGGAAGCATGAGTTGTAATAAAATAAAAACATCCTTTCCCAGGATTTTCCTGCAGTGCTTAAGAACATAAGAGAAACTATGCTGGATCGGAGTAATAGTCCATCTAGTCCTGCATGCCATTTGGCAAGCCAGATGCCACAGGGAAGTCCACTGACAACAGCTATCACCTACTGACTGCTCTACAGCATCTGATAATCAGAGACATTCTGCCTCTCAACTGAGAGGTCCCATTCAGCTACAATAAAGCTGCCCTACAAAAATGTGCCCTTTTAGATCTATCAAAGCTAATGATCACTGCTACATCTCATGGTAGTGAGTTCCATGTGTCAACTACCCACTGGGTGAAGCAGTGCTTCCTTTTGTCTGTCTTAAATCTGTTGCCATTAGTAGGTTTCATAGGTGAGCCCAAGTTGTACTGTTATGGGAAAGGGAGAAAAGTTTCTCTGTATTCACTTTTTGTAGACACCTGTGTCATCCTCTTTCAAACCTAAACAATGAAATCAGTCATGTTAACTGAAGAAAACCCACTCCTGTCGAAGTGGGGGAATAATATGAGTTGATGCACCCCACATATGAGGAAGTTCAGAAGCATGGAAAATATACCCCCAACAACTAAAATAAGACTTATCTAGTTGTGCTGTTGGAGATGTCAACATGGTAGCTGTCAGTAGGTGACCGTATAACATGTCCTCTCCACAAAGGGTGAAACAAACTTCCATGTCTAGAGTAGTAATTTACATGGCCAAGCAAGGTGATGGTCCTTCAGACCTGTTCAGATGCTGCCTACACTCTGTTTCGTTTTCTTTCCTGTTATCAACTTACCTTCCACACTTCTAAGTTGCAGTTACAAGCTCTGCTCAATTTCCATTCACCCCCACTCCCGATAGGCTATTTACAATGCCCAAGAGACCTATTGGCCTCTTGGCCTGGGACCTAGCCCTTTCATTGGGCCTGGCTAGGATCCTACTGGCCCATTGTCTTTAGGCTTGAAGCTAGTGGTGTTTGTGCCTGGGCAAGTCCAGGCATGCCCGGCCCTGACAGGGCCTGATACACTACAATGTGTGAAGGACCAACAGGCTGATCTGGTACAGAGAGAAGTCACCTGATGACAAACAGTCTGACCAGGACAACCATATTGGAATCTAGCACACACACAGGGGGACGGTTATTCCACGAAGACTATCACACCTTATAGAGTGTCTTTTGCTTAAGATAGCCTGGCACTTTTTACCTCAGTTTCACTGTAATTTTTATTAGGGTGCATGAAGGGTGGAAACAGACAATTGTTTTACCACACAGAAGCATCTGTAGTGAAACTCTCCCTCCCATTTGGCAGGATGACAGAAAATTGTCTGACCATGGAAAAATTACCACTTGAGAGACAGTGTTGGTGTAGTGGTTAGTGTGTTGGACTAGGATCTGGGAGAACCAGGTTCAAAACCCCACTCTGCTGTGAAAGCTCACTAGGTGATCTTGGACCAGTCATATACTCTCCACAGGGCTTTTTTTGTAGAAAAAGCCCAGTAGGAACTCATTAGCATAATAGGCCACACCCAACAGCCAAAGCTCATTAGCATATTAGGCCACACCCTGACACCACAGCTCATTAGCCTATTAGGCCGCAGCCCCGTGTTGCCAGAAGTGTGGTCATCCAGTCACACCCACCTTTTCCCTCTTGTTCTGTTTACCTTGTTTGTTGTCAAAACCCAGGGCCTTTTTTTTGTAGCAGGGACTCCTTTGCATGTTAGGCCACACACGCCTACTATAGCCAATCCTAATGAGTTTCTGCTGTTGGGTGTGGCCTATTATGCTAATGAGTTCCTGCTGGGTGTGGCCAACTCAGGAGCCAGCCGGAACTCCGTTCCTGTGCGTTCCTGCCCCAAAATAGCCCTGACTCTCCACCTAACCTACCTCACAGCGTTGTTGCAAGAACCAAATGGTGGAGAGGAGAAAGCTGTAAGCCACTTTGGGTCCCCATTCGGGAGAAAGGTGGTATATAAATGAAGGAGGGCTTGGAGGGTGGGTTAGAAATGTGAGGAATAAACAAATAAATAAAACGTCAAATGGTTGGCTGTGTTGGCCACCTGTTAGTGCAGTTGACAGCCTGTTGGTCAGACCACAGAAGATCCAGCTTTGAATCACTGTTCATACATTAAACTGAGTGGCTTTTGGCAAATCACTCCCTTTTTCAATGTAAACCAAACTAAAAGGGTTGTTGTGAAGATAAATGAGATGAGAATATTAAAGAATGTTGTGCATTTACATACATTCATTATAGCATCTGTATAATCTTTTTCCAATTATGATGGTGCTCAGGGCAGGTCACAATAATAAAATCGGTTGATAGACACTATCATGTAATGCATCACAACTGTTCAAATAACCTTGCTTACAATACTAGGCCTGCAACGGTAGGATAGCATTATTACCTCCATACTGCTGGTGGCAAAGAAAGGGAAATGAGACTCTTGAGGACAGTGGCTTGTCTTAGGCTATGCAGTGAATACATGGCTTGAGTGAGATTATAACTGGACATAATTTAGCCCACATACTTACAACAGCTTTCTAATAACATCAGGAAAATATATACTCAAAATCTATGTACAACTTGGACACCATTAGAAAAAAAATTGCTCAAGTAGAACAATATAACCAAGTCTCTGCAGGGGTAGCATATACATTTTCTACATACATTTCTTTTAAAATAAGTTTTTAAGATTTTCTAAAAGAAAAGAACAGAAAAATAAAGTAACTAATAACAAGTAAAACATAGTAGAACAATCCATAAGCATTAAAATACATTTCTAAGTGAATAAATATTGAACATGAGGAAGGGGAGGCATTTAGCCTCATCCACATATGGCAGCCGTGCTTAGTCTCCTGTCATAAATGACACATGATACAGAAAGGGGACTAACGTACCTTACCCTCTAGCAGAGAATAAAAGGTGAATGTAATAGTTTTCCCACCAAAACTGACAGAACAGAAAAAGAATTCCACTGAAGTGAGCCCTCAGAAAATTAGTTACGGAGCTATATGTCTAATGATCCCTACTGGAGAACCAAAATATTTATTAAAAATAAAGGGAACCTGAATGTTGCCAATGTCCACTAAATTGGAAAGGGACTCTCTTAAAAAAGCATAAATTTAAATCCTTCCTGGTCATGTGTGACTTGTGTGTGCACAGCTTTTTGAGAGAAAACTAACATGGAAAATTACCTCACACAAATTCACAAGAGACAAAAATATTACGGAGTATGTGAGGAACATTATCCTTCTGAAACCTAGAATTGCTAACATATCAATTAGAATCCCAAAGGGATGGCCTTTTCTCTTTTTCTCTTCTTCCTGTATTAACTAGTCACATAACAGAGCTCCAGAGGTCAAGTGATGCATTTACAGATGGCTGGTCCCATGTTGCACTCATGTGCCTGCAGCTTAAAGGCTCATTAAATGAAACGTACAAAAACCTCCATGCCCATAAGCTGCCTGTTATACCAAATACACTAATACACTCTCTAGCTTTAGCCCTTCTGGCTCAGGGCACAGTCTGCCAGTTGTACTGGATCTGCAAGGAAATAATACACAGGATTTGGGATGAAAACTAATGAAATACTAAAATGAATACAAAAATGCATTCCGAAGGGATTATCATACCATGGCAGACTGGGTGCTCCAGGAGCTAAGCTTCAGGGTTTAACTTGAGCTTTCATTAAGAATGAAAAGAGTTTGAAGTGACAGGAAAACGGAGGTGACAGATAGAAGTAGCAAGAGCAACTGTAATGATGAACAC